TTTTAAAACCTCATACTTGCATGATCATACCTATATTGGTTCTGTTGTGTTTTGATCCAATTCAACTGTTGGAATACATCAAATATATCATTTGTAACATGTTCAAACCCTCATTTGATTATCACAACAGTTGGTTTGTGTTTTGGATTTCAAAATGCATCTTTTAACACAAAATTGCAACTCACATATCATTTTTCACCACAGCATAAATTGAGCCTTGACTCTTGCATGAACTTAGTCCTTGTCACTTATATGTTGTGTGGATGTGATTATTTTAATTCAAAGCTGGTTGTCATGAGTGTGTTACTTCAAAATGCATTTTTCAAACATTACACTAGCATGACCATACCTTCATCCATTCTGTTGTGTTTTGATCCAAACTAAATATTGGAATTCACTAAATGCATCATGTATAATATGTTCAGACTTTCATTTAGTTGAAATAACAGTTGGTTTATGTCTTAGACATCAAAATGCATTTTTCAAGTTTCAAAAGCATGTGCATTCGAATTTTTAAGTAGAAGGAGAATCTCAGAAAAATAATATCACCATCATGATCCTCATATTTTTTTGGTCAAGATACATATAAATTTCATCTCATTTGGATAAGTATTGAGTGAGTTGCGTATCAAAACGTATTTTGGAAAATCACTTGTTTTGCCTTAGATCTGTCCAGCTTGCATTGCATTTTACCCTTATATGTTTAAGGGGTGGCATATACAAACGGATGTATAGCCACCCCAGTGGTAAGACCATTATGCCAAAAACTCCTTGCACGCCTTGTACCTGAGTTCGACCTCTGAGGAGGGCAACTCTTTTATTAAATTTTGGCATTTTTCACCAAACTTTGAAAAATCCGTATCTCTCTCAATTTTAATCGTTTTTCACCCGTTATTTTTTCATTGTGTTCATATTGATGTTTACTTTCATGTCATATTTTTTATTTTCATGTTTGACAAATTTTTCATCTCTTTTGACTTTTTGCAAGTTAAGTGCTTTTTACGTTCGTTTATGCATGTGCAGATGAATTTTTCTTTGGTTACACTTGAATTTTTTTGTGATACTTGTTTGTATTTATATCCTTAAATGTTAGTTAACATGCTAGAATTTTATTTTTGGTTGTCACCATGTTTGTTTTGTTCCCTCTGTTGAATGTAATTGAACTCGATCTATCATCACAGTTCTTGTTAATTCATCTGTGTTGATTGTCATCAATGCACTTTCATCTTTATCATTCCATATGTTTTTTTAAAGGTTGTCACCATGAATATACCTTCATCTTGTTGTTAATTTTCTTATTGTTTTCTTTCCCCAAGTGATGAAGCTTGTTAGCTTTCATCCAGTTGCCTCCCCTGTATACTTCCAAAGGAAAAGTCTGTCCATTTGACCTTCATGTCATGGATATATCCCTTATCCCTCTCTTGACTTTGTTAAGTCACTTTAACCCTAGATTAGAAACCCTTAGACTTTGCTTTAAGTCTAAAAGACCCACCTGTACTAGGAGTGTTCTTCAACTAGGACCCTAGGAAAGAGTTTGTCAACTCTGTGTAAGAATCATCGTCATGATTTCTTACTTCCCCTTTTGAATATTACAACTTAGATTAGGGAGTTTTGTCAAACTCCACACAAACATTGTCATGTTTGTTCCCCCGTGAACCTTGATCATAATCAAGTGTTCTTTATCCCTTGTGAGGTGAACTACGATTGCTCTGATTCTATCCTAGTTAGGATACGTAGGCAGAAGATGCGACGTCTTTGCGAGCAAACTTAATGTATATAACTTTAGGTTTCAACTCATATCTTTTCCCAATCCCAAATCCATAGTACATATCACAAACTTAGCAAGCAATCAAACAAAAGGTTCCTGTAGAGTACTACAGATATTTAGGGTGCTAACACCTTCCCTAGGTATAACCAACCCCCGATCCCCAAATCTCTTAAGCATTGTCGTTACATCGCGAAAAAGGTTTTTCTTTCTTTAGACCTTTCCTTTGGATAAAATAAAGTCCGATTGTAAAAAGAATTAAGATTCAAGTTAATCTAATAGCTTGATATCCAATTTTCACCGCAATACTTTCCATATTCATTTTTTTTATCAAGTCTTTAATGTATTCTCCAAATTTCTTTAATGTTAGAAGAGCATAACTTTTAGGACGTCTCCCCCATCTACGATGATTCTCCTAAACATTTTACTACTATTTGAAGCCTTAATAAATATTGGCTTTATATGTATGACGTATCTAGAGAAGAACATACCTTTCTATTCGATAGCCTTAACCAAGGAATAACACTCAAAGTCTTTAACAAATATGTCTCATTCAAGATCCCTCGACAATTCCTCTATGCCAAGTTCTAAAGAGGGATTAAATTGATCAAGCTTTGTATTTCACCCATGATGATGTTAGTATCTCTGTTGAGCCCATAACATACATCATCCTCCCCCTACACGCATTTGATATTATCTAACCCCAATAATGCAACCATATTTTTCCAATCAACTGGCTAGATGGTGGTGATCACCAGTTATTGGCTTCAGGCGTGTAAGACTTGGATCAAGTGCATCTTTTTTCATTTTTGAAGCAACTTCACACATGGCTTATATGTTATGGGTGTCAACCTCATTAGCGGTTGACTTGATATCTCTTAAGTTTTCGAGTGGTGCCTTTAGTTCAGTTGAAATAAATGCTTTTGTCCAGCTCTTTTAGCACCTCATGTTAGAATATATTGTATAAGGGCTATCTTCATGTTTACCAAGTTTATTCACACTTGTCACTTTGGGAAACTCTTATTCAAAGTTATGTTAATAGTTAGTTTGTGTTTCTATTTTTAGGAGTTAGTTGGTTAGTTAGTTATCTAGATTGATATATAAATTTGTTGCAATCTCATTTGTTCTCTTGAGTTGAATCAATGAAAAGCGTATTCTTCTTCAATTGTTCTTCTTCTTCTTCCTCTCCATGAGTACCTCAATATTCTAACATGGTATCAGAGTCTTAGATTCAGCTACTTGTGAACTGATATGGCTTCTATATGTTTTAAGAGACTTGTAAGTTTCATGTTCCAAGCCCCTGATTTTGTATTGTGCCAATCAAAGTGCTTTGCATATAACATCAATTCCCGTGTTTCATGAGAGAACAAAGCATCTTGAGATAGACTGCCACTTGGTATGAGAGAAAGTATAACAAAGAATTTGAATTTCTTACCAATCTCTTCATAGGAACAACTGACCAATTTCCTTAAAAAGCCACTACAACCAACTAAGTTCAACACATTTGTATCCAAACTTGGCATGATCAACATTTATCCCGCATGAGCTTGAGAAAGGGTGTTAGAATATATTGCATAAGAGTTATATTCATGTTTACCAAGCTTATTCATACTTGTCATTTTGGGAAACTCTAATTCAAAATTCTATTACAAGTTAGTTTGAGTTTTTTTTAGGAGTTAGTTGGTTATCTAGATTGATAGATAAACTTGTTGTAATTTCATTTGTTCTCTTGAGCTGAATCAATATAATAACAACTTCTTCTTCTTCTTCTTCAATTGTTGTTGTTGTTCTTCTTCCTCTCCATGAATACCTCAATATTCTAACACCTCAAGAAAAGATATATTTTTACCATCTTGGTTTTGAACTTTAGCAATGAGCTACAAAGTTTGCTTCATTTTCTTTATACATCAACTTCTTTACTTCCTCCTCTTTTGAGGTTTGATGAGAGTTTCTACATGAGGTGTTTTTTATTTGGACCTCTTAATCAATATCCATTGCCCCTTAGTTATATTGGTCAATCATTTAATCACTCTTTGAGTCATTAGCTCCTCGTTTCCCTTAATAGTGATCTCAAGAGACATTAGCCATTTCTTCAATGTAACTTCGGCTATCCACATGTTTGGTTTTGTACATTACAATCACTCATTGGAAGCATCTCGCCTTTACAGATCTCATGCTTGAGGGGTTGTGTACAATCCACTATTTGGACTAGATCTAAACTAGAATTTAACATAACTACTCTATTTTAAAGCAAGTATACAGAACATAACCAAGTTAGTTCAACACAATGGGCCAAGCCAAGTTGGCCAGCCCAAGCCAACATATCTTACTTCAACCAGTGTATTTTAACACACAAAAATAAAACATTCAAGACATATTAATATTCTTAAGTGGTTGGTCTCATATAAAGAAACAAGGGATTTGATTCTCAATAATTAGTCTTAGTTAGACAATGAGAAATGAATCTTAATAATCAATTAGTTGATGCTATGGAAGTGAGATTATATATATATATATATATATATATATATATATATATATATATATATATATATATATATATATATATATATATATATATATATATATATATATATATATATATATATATATATATATATATATATATATATATATATATATATATATATATATATATATATATATATATATATATATATATCAAACATCAAAGAAAAATGATAAACTTTTCTAATCCAATCCAATTTTACGACTTTGACTAATTCTTAGCTAGTAGAGTTATCTTTAGGCACATGCCCACTTCATTTCTAGATAAGGTTGGTTTTGTGTGAGTCTAAGTAGAAAAGTGTTGCAATGAGTGCTAGTGAAGTTGTTTGGCATGCTACGCTAATGTATGAGTTGGAGTTTATGGTCAAAAAGGAAAGCGCAATGTTTGTATAGGTGGAAAACAAATCTTCCATTAATATTATAATAACTAGTAATATGTAAAGTTGTAGACATTTTATTTATTTATTTTGACTACGGTTGTACACATGATAAAATCTCATAATATTAGAATACTCTTGCTTGTAAAATAAGTTTATTCCAAGATTAGAAGTTGAGTAATCCAAACTTCTTTCTTCCTCTAATAATAACATTAACATCAACCCTACAACTTCACTTTTTTAAGTATATAAATAGAGAACTAAACCAAACCTCTGCTCATTCATAACTTAAAAGCCTAATCACCTCTCTTCTCTTTCATTCATTCAAAATGGTTGTGTTGTCAAAAACAACAACAGAGCAATATCCATGTCTAAGAAACTTGAAACAAACCACATTCATACCTGAAATCCCTATAGTGGATCTCTCCAAACCTGATGCAAAGAACATCATAGTCAAAGCTTGTGAAGAGTTTGGATTCTTTAAGGTTGTCAACCATGGTGTTTCCATGGGATCTATCTCTTTATTGGAATCTGAAGCTGTTAAGTTCTTTTCCATGGCTTTTGATCAAAAGGAAAAAGCAGGACCAGCTAATCCATTTGGGTATGGAAACAAGAAAATTGGTCAAAACGGTGATATTGGTTGGGTTGAATATCTTCTTCTGTCAAATAATCAAGATTTCAATTCCTTCAAACTCTCTCCTGCTTTTGGTAAAGACTCACAGAAGCTTCGGTATGTATAAATCATTCTTTGTTCTCAAACATGTAACTAATGTATTTGGACAACAGATAAATCAGATTGTTGCATAAATTTTGTAACTAATGTATCTGGACAATATATAAACCAGTTGCATAAGTAAATTGTTTCTTATAAATAGGACCAAAATAGTATTAAATTTAAGGTTTTCTTGTTGTTGTTTCAGTTGTTTGTTGAGTGATTACATGTCAAGTGTGAAAAAGATGGGATGTGAGATTCTTGAACTGATGGCAGAAGGATTGAACATTGAAGAAAAGAATGTGTTGAGCAAGGTTGTAATTGATAAGGACAGTGATTGCATATTCAGGCTTAACCACTACCCTCCTTGTCCTGAGTCAAGGTTGAATAATAATGATAATGATGGTGAAAATGTGATTGGTTTTGGTGAACACACAGATCCACAAATCATTTCATTGTTGAGATCAAACAACATTTCTGGTTTTCAAATTTCTCTCAAAGATAAGAGTTGGATTTCAGTGCCTTCTGATCACAATTCCTTCTTTGTTAATGTTGGTGATTCACTTCAGGTACAAACTCACACCAGTCACTCTTTTCTTATAATACAAGTAATCTATGAATATTACTACCTCCAATATTATTTATAAAAATTTACTTTTTAGACAGTATAATAGATAAAATAAATCAATTGTTAAATGAATTTAAAAAATTAAATATATCAAATAACTAATCTATTCAATGAAATTTTATAAATATGATAAAAAAGAATATGAAAAACAATTAATATATCTTATTTATGTATAATTAAGATATATTGGTTATTTAATGTATTTAAAATAATTATTTTTTTTTATAATAAAGACTAGAGAGTAATTCTAATTTAATTATTAAAATTAAAAAATTCAAATATAATCTACAAGTTATTTCAAAAACTAAACATATTTATTAAAAGTTACTATTATAAACAAAATATTTTGAGTTTCAAAAAAATATTTTTAATATTATCTCAGTCTTTAAATGTAATATTCATTGATTAAATTATCAAACAAAAAATATAAAAATATATTTAATTTATTAACAATTAATATTTTTTTACAAGTTTATTTTATATAAAAAAATGTTTATTTTAATGATAGTATTTACCCTCTTGTTATAAAAGGAAGTGTATGTTTTATTGATACCATTGACCAAAAATAAAACAGTACTTAGTATTTATTTATTATAAGTTTTTCCTGTTCATTTAGATAAGATATGAAATGGTTGACATGTGGATAAAGATAAACACTTACTTTTCAGGAGAGTTAGTAGCTTTTTGAATAAATTCTGATTCATTTATTTATTGATCGTTGTACTCTTTCCAATTCGACACTCTTCTTCTTATTTATGAAATAAAATCTCCCCATGTGATGAAAACTTTTCTAGTCTTGTCATGTCAACAAGTTTTAATAGTATTTACATTGAAATGGGGTATGTATTTATAATGCATGCCACCTTTTTTTGCCTTGTGATTCTGACACATATTTTATCCACAAAACCAAATACAGGTTATGACTAATGGACAATTCAAAAGTGTGAGGCACAGAGTTTTAACAAATGGTTTCAAATCTAGACTCTCTATGATTTATTTTTGTGGTCCATCTTTGAGTGAGAAAATTGCACCTTTGCCATGTCTCATAAGAGGAAATGAAAGATTATTATATAGAGAGTTTACATGGTTTGAATACAAGAAATCTGCTTATGCTACAAGATTATCAGACAATAGACTTTGTCACTTTGAGACAATTGATGATTCCTAATATAGAAATCTCACACTCATACCTGTCACTGTTAGGGTATCTGTATCATGTGTAATAGAACTAGAATTGGATGTTGCTTTTGCTTTTGCTTTTCTTTCTATTATATGGTTTTTTTTAGTTATTCACGTGTATGTGTAATGGACAGTGTAATTATTCATATATTGATTTTCTTTTTAATTAAATTTTTAGTTGCTTTAACTAATTATTTATTTTATATTTATTGAATAATTATAAGAGAGAATCCAAACACATTCAAAATAATTTGATTTTTTTAAAATTTTTTTTATCAATTTGTAATTTTTTTTTTGATTCAAAAACCTCTATTATTTATTTCAATTTATAAAAAAAATTATGATTAATTCAACCATGTGTTAATCATATTTTTCAATCTGAATTGTATTAAGCATATTTTTTAAAGCAATTATATATTTAACTATGTTAATTAGACTTTTGTATGTAATTAAAAAAAAATTGATATTACAAGGTGTTCAGAAAAAGGTATACATTAAATGTTTGTTTAGTAAAATAAATAAAAAATTAACTTTTACTTTTTGTTTTTACCTTTTTAATTAATAAAAACAATTTGTTTGATAATTATTTTTTGTAGCTTCCAAAGTTATTTAAAATAGCTTTTCAACTTGTTTATTTTTCTTTCATTTCATTTCTACTTTTATTATTTTAACAAAAAATCATTCTTATCCTTTATATTTTATTATTATTTGAAGTAAAATAAATGCATAATATCATTATACCTTTATTGTAAAATGTTAAATAATAAAATTGTTTTTATCATTATTGTAAATTAATATAATTGAATTAAAAATTACCATGTTAATATTTTGGATTAATATAATTTAATTTTATTATTATTTTGGATTAATATATGTAGTGATATATATATTTGTGAAGGGTCTAATAGAGGCGGGAGAATGGTGATCCTCAAGATGGGTGGCACCTATACGTCGCCCTGCATTAGGAACCGCCTTGTCCTAAGTGCCCCCTACTCATCCAGTCAAGAAAAACATGGGAAAAACGTTCTTCCATTAGAGAGGAGTCAGAGTCAACTGATTGATCCACGTCTCCCTAAAAAATAGGGATTCAACGGTCCCCCGTTGATTGAGTGAATGGTTATTAATCCCTAGAAAAACCTAGGTCCACAGACCTTTATAAATATCTCCTCCCTACTAGAAGAAGAGACAAATCATTATACCCATAACACAACGCATATAACACAGAGTCTCTCACCTCACGTGAATTGACTCTCTCATACACACTAAAAATCACCATTAAGCAGGTACTTTCACCAACGTGAGTAAGTCCTAACCACCCTTAACTACAAAGGTCTCTAAGTATCTCCTACTTGAGAAGGGATACCACACACTCCTGTATTTTTTGACAAGTACATTGACGACCATTGTGGTGTAATTACAGAGTGCAACTTAAGAGGGGGTGAATTATGTTTTATGAATTTTTCTTATTATTTTGTAAATGTTCTTTTCTTTTTATTTTTCCGGAATTAATATGATGAACTTAGAACAAAAAGTGAAGAATAAATAAATAACAGGAAAGTAAAAGACACAAAGTTATATCATGGTTCCCCTTTCCAAACAATTGTAGTCCATTCTCTTTATACCCTGTGAAGGATTTTCACTATGCTAAAACTAGTACATGTCTCACACCAAGGTCACTCTTATATTCTCCTATCACACTAATTTCTTTTTCAGCAACACTTAGAAAGCACACCACTTTCTATTTCAAGACTTAGAAAGCACAATATTTTCTATTACAACAATAGTCACCAACACTTGATGATCAAACACGTAATTTAAAAAGGATTTGAAATATACTATTGCACTTGAATCAATTCCACCACAAAAATTGATTTTCTCTTCCAATGAACATTTCAAATATAACAATATTAAATGCTCAAAAAAAATTTGCAAAAGGGTATGACAATTATACAGTAAAAGTTTCAAGGTTTGTGCATATAGAAAAGTTAAATCAAATTTGAATTGATATGTGAATTTGAATGGAAGAGGTGAATTGAAATTTGAATGGTAGAGGTGAATTGAAATTTAAATGATCATTGCCTTAAATACAACTGATGAAACATGTTGGATCAATTCCACTTGTTGGGTAGATATTTCATGAAATTTTGTATTGATTTAGAAAGGAAATTGTTGATGAAAGAGTGCATTTATTCAAAGTTCCAGACCCTATAATCGATTATAGGATTTACGTAATCGGTTGCCACCTTTGATTTTTTTTTAAAATTGAGACATAGAGTTTTTGTAATCGGTTATTGCATTAGTGTAACCGGTTACAACCTTAAAAATTTTCAAAAATATCAGCAAAAATGATCTTGTAACCGGTTACCAATAGAGTGTAACTTGCTACACAGATATGAAAAGCGAAAAATAAGTTTGTAAACAACTTGTTTTGCAAAGTATCGATGCATGAATGTGTTAGATACATCTAGAGACGAAGAGAAGAATAGTCTTATGAGCATCTAACAATGTTACATAATGAATTACATTATGTACCTTTTAGCATCATGATCAATGTTTATTTTCATCTTTGTCATTCAATAACTTAGTGCATATCTGATCCTTTTGAGATATCTCTTGATACTTGATGTCAAGAAACATTTTCCTTATTTTTGACACTTGATATTTTGATATTATTTTGTCTTCATCAAAACTTCATACTCAAATGAGCTTGTCTCCACAATCTCCCCATTTTTTTATGATGACAAATACTTGACATTGTTTTTTTATTGCCTTTGGAAAAAATAATTCTTCTTCATATATATATATATATATATATATATATATATATATATATATATATATATATATATATATATATATATATATATATATATATATATATATATATATATATATATATATATATATATATATATATATATATATATATATATATATATATATATATATATATATATATATATATATATATATATATATATATATATATATATATATATATATATATATATATATATATATATATATATATATATATATATATATATATATATATATATATATATATATATATATATATATATATATATATATATATATATATATATATATGTATGGCGGTGCAGTGTGAAGCCTTGTACAATGGTGTTACAGTGTTTATGGCGATGCAGTGTGTTGCACCCTAAAATTTGCTCAACCTATTTCACCTGGGTTATGTTTCAATTGCATTGTCATTTGCATAATAAGTCATGTACATAGTCTAATCATTTGCATAGCATAGCATAACAAGGCATCTAATAAGGGATCAAGTGCCATTCTTATCAGAGAGAGGCCCATCAAGGGGTTTTATTCAAGTTCAAGACCATCCAAGTAATCAAAAGAAGCTTTGAAAAGTTTGAAGGTCAACCAGTGGATTTCTCTCCTAATCTTGAGGGGTTGAAGATCACCAATGGGAGTATGAGCTATAACTGAGAGTATGAAATGTGCATAAAGATCATGGAAGACCTAGAGGGTCATTTTGAAGATGAGACAAGTCATTGATTCAAGTACAAGAGCCAGAGTTGAAGTACAGTCAACTAGGGTTTCATCTGGGTGAACCATAGGTCAACCCTAGGTCAACTGAGTGATTGAAGGGTATCAAGGCTTAATTGAAGTATGTGGGATTCATGAATTGATATGTGGATACATGTGTGGTGTTGTGCCAAGGAGAAATAAAAAAGAATCAAGAAGAAGAGGAGTTACTAAATTAGGGTTTCAGTGTAAAAAACCCTAGTTTAGGCCTAACTTCCGAGCCAGATAAGTCAAAATGCAAGTTTCAAATGAATTCTTGGTCAACATGAAACTTGTAGGAATTCTCAATAGCTTTAATTTGAGTACTAGAAGTCTTCAAGAAGATTTTCAGAACACAAGTTATGGTTCTTGCAAGTTATGGGTCCCCAGAGGACATTGAAATTTATCTATGAAAGTCACTTGACTTCCAAGCAACTTTTTCCCATCAAGGAGTTTTCAAATGGATTCTTAGCCAACATAAGAGTTGTAGATATTGATCTTAGATTTAATTTGAGTACTAGAAGTCCTCAAGGGGATTTATGGAACTCAAGTTATGATCTTGGCAACCCAGGGGTATTTTGGGAAAGTTGAATTACAGGTCATTTTTCAACATAGGTCTAAATCTCCATCTTCCACTCCTCAAATGAAAAAATGTTCAACATGAGATGTGTTTAAAATTATGTTTTTAGGCTAGATAAGAGGTCATGAGAACTTGGAATGGCTTGCTTCACAAAATCATAAAAATGGCCTAAAATGAAGGTATATTTTAAATGAACCAAAGTTGGAAATTAGGGTTTTTGATCTACACAACCAAACCAAGCCATATGACATACCAATTTGATTGTAAAATGCATTTTGAGAACATTGAAATTGCCACAATTTTGAATTGAGGGTTATTTCAAGGACTTGCTTTGTAAATTGATTACTTGAACCATAAGGCACAATTGCAAAACCATACTTCCAAGCAAATGCAAGGCTCCTTTCCATCCATACACCTCCAATATCTCATTTGGAGAGAATTTAAACTCAGAACCAAGGGAATTGCAAGCCAAATCATGAGCTGGTATGAGTGCATAGCATGACATGAGATCTCATGACATGAGATGGTGAGTTTCTCATTGGATCAACCTAGAACTTTCTAGAGTCTTCATTCACACTCTATATATGCATATGAAGTGATCCCAAGCAAGGGTTGGTGAGAATTGAAGGAGAGAAGAGAGATTGAGATTGAAATTTTTCTGTTGCAACTCAGATTCGGTTACAAGCTTTTACACCATTTCAATCCAAGATTTTGATTGTTATAGATTCCATTGATACTAGTGAGTGTTTCCAGATCAATTTACAAGCAAATTGGTGGCTGAATCGTGTTCTTGCTCTTGGATTTTCTCACCTGCAACTCACTATCGGGTTCCAAGATTCAAGAGGTTTCAACCATTTCTT